CCACTCTTCAGGGTGGTCCTGCCTTGATTACTTGTACTATTTGGCGGCTAAATGATAGCTACACTACACACTGCACTACGGTAGTACGAGCGCAGAACTTGCTCCGAAGAGTGCAATCTCGGTACTTGGTGCGCGCTGGAGCACAAGGCTCGCGCTGTTCTCATGCTGGGGGCGGCGTGGTGGACCAGACAATCCAAGGCGTAAAGCGGCTCACAAATCCCACCCAATCCAATGGACAGTAGATGCCACCGAGGACACTCGGTATCCGAACAATATGATAGGCATCAAGGTCCAGCTTGTGTCGCATGTTTCAGGCAGAACGAGCTGATTAGTATCAGAGTGGCGGCCCGTCGTCGAGGTCTGGCGTCTATCATAGCGTAGCTTCGATTGCCAGAGAACGGTAGCCTTGCCGTGCAACGTCCGTCGGCCAAGTGAGCAGAGATGGGAAAGAACGACGCAAGAAACTGCATGATGCATTGGATCTGTACGGCACCCAAGTCTACCACGTCGGTGGTGTGACTGAGAATATTTTGTTCCTTACACCCGGTCGTACATATGGATCCGGACCGAGTCGCGACAAAGCCGAGTTGCAGCTTCAAACGAGAAAGAAGCAGCGCCAATCGCAACCTGTTTGTGACGAGGCCTATGGCAGCCATGCATATGCCACCGACGCGACGAGAAGCATTGTGTTTCCCACTGCAGGCGACGTGGACAACAGTATAAGAGTTTGTATCAACTCTGCCGCGAGTATCAGCCACGAGACATTGATATTGTGCAGTTTTTTTCAAGAGCCATTTCCTACCCACACTGACACCAACGAGAGTTGCACACAATGAAAGCAAGTCAGTACGTACATTGGATCCAGTGGGCACGGAAGCCCTTGCTAAGAGAAGATAGGGGCGAGTGATCTGCGCCGCGAGAACCGACGACAAACGAACGACCAAAGATGTTGCTTTGCCGCGGGGCCAGTGGCGAAACCCACGTTCGATGCGACGTACACGGTTCATGGAAATTTTAACGTCGTCTCGCCCGATTGCACAAGTTTCAAAATTTGTCAGTGGTCGATTTTCAATCTCAAGTGGGTTCAGAGAAGGAAAGGGTCGGAGCGATCAGTCTTGTTTCCATCATACTGAATTCAAGTCAACCGTTGCCTCAAAAATGTATAGACGCCTATCATACATTGGACAAACAAACAAACGTGTGGACTGCAAGCGACGTTGGAATGGACAGTATGATCGGAAAGGGACTTGTAGCTTTCCGACGCGGCTCTGATGCTGCCACGTACTAGGGTGCAGCCACTTTTGCGAGTCGTTTGTGGCTGTGAACGAACGCGTTTCTGGTGGGAATGCGAGGATGCATCGTGGTCGACGTGGCATGTAGCAGCAGCACTTTGCATTTTACCATGAACACGATCAACCCCACCGACAACGAGTGCCAATACACATACAAACCGTGCACGAACCCGCGGTCGAGAAAGAAGAATGGGTCGCTCCACTCGTTCTGCGAGTACCACCGACAAAAAGCCAACGCGCTCCAAAAAGCACATGACGCGAGAAAGCGCCTTCGCGAGGCAGACGCGGCGCGAGGAATTGCAGCGTCTCGGCCGGCACCGATCGAAGAAACCAGAACTATCGCTACCTCAGCATCGTTTGGCGTCGACGACATGCGATTTATGAGCGAGTGGCTGCTCGATGCCAATAACGTCGATGCCGACGACTACCTCGACGGTACCAGTCCCTTGACCACCGAGGACTATGCCATCTTGTGCGACATCTTTCGAGGGCCTTGAAGAAATGGATGGCTACTTATCGATTGATTCCATGATTGCGGTCTCTGTGTAAGCCATCGACGTGTTGATGCAATATGGTTGCACTACCCGGGTAGAGCATTTTAGGATACCAGTAGTATGGTTGGTTGTCAAGGTTCATTGTATGGATAACGGGTACTGTAGTACGTTTTACCGATGAGAGCGGCGGATTTCGGTATGGTATCAAAACGTCCACGTGGCCCATTCCAAGCCCATTCCAAGAGCCTGCCCCATAGAATCGTCGTCGGCAATACTCCTCGTATTGCGCAGAATATTGCAGTACGTAGTATACTAGTAGGTGCAAGCATGTTGTCAGCAAGCGCTGGCAGCAAATGGTGTCCAAGCCCCCGGCACTTGCGACGGTGCAATTCGAAACGACGGACGATCGAGGGCACGTATCCATGCACGGCTGCATTGCCGTGTCGTTCAAAGGCAGTAGGCCCCTGCAAACGAGGGAACGTACTCGGAGAGCTGCAGTCATGTAAGGGCATTTATTGCATGACAACAAGAACAAAAGCCGTGTGTCCAAGTGAATCCGACGTCAAAATCCAATCAACTCTGTTGATGGCGTTGTGCTATCACCTTTTATTGCCGTTTCTCGAGCGGTCCATACTGGCCATCGTTCACATCTGCCTCACCGCGACGGTCCATGCTATATACAGTACTGCAGTTGATATCCACCGAGCGCGGCCTTGCATTTCGCGTCGTATTATTTGCCCAAGTCGAGTGACGTGCCTTGCGAAATGTGATAGGCGTGTGTTTGGTTATCAATCAATAGTGGCGGCGTGGAGTACTGGCCACTCATCGCCTCCACGCGGCCTCTCCCCGACGCAGTATGCGTACAGCGCCTGCAGCTGCCCGCCAAGGATGCGTAGCATCGCATCACTTGACAAAATCCGCCCGCCATGGCATCCACAGCGACGAGCCCCGACCTCCAGTGCCAATACACGTACAAGCCGTGCTTCAACCCGCGCTCGACCAAGAAGAACGGGTCGCTTCACTCGTTTTGCGAGTACCACCGTAAGAAGGCCAATGCCATCCAGAAAGCCCATGCGACCAAGAAGCGGCTACGCGAGAGCGGGCTCACCGACGACCACCGAGAAGTGGCCGCGCCGTCCATCTTTATTGCGTCGCAGCCGGCGCGGCCCCGCCTCTCGACGCCGTCCTTTGACAGCAACGATGTTCGGTTTTTGCACGAGTGGCTCGTCCAGCATGACACGCTCGACGAAGTCGACAGCAATTACATTGGCGCGACCGACGAGATTGAGCTCACGCCGGAGGACTACGCGATTCTGCGGGATCTGTTTTAGACATCGAGGATGCTGGATGAGACGAATGATATGTATTACACAACTGTATCTGCATCTCTTGACGCATCCTAATACGTCAGAACACTCGACCGCCAGTCAAGTATTTATTGCTCATTGGGCGCGCGCTTCGCAGCTGCCCAATCTCAACCACGTCGTGCATGCTTGGAGAAATACGTCGTCATGTACTCCTACTGGGCATCAACATCGAAACACAGGCGATGCAGGAATTGAACCGTCGTACGACTTGTCGAATCAGAGTCACGTCACCCCAGGATGGCGAGACCATCCTTCCCGTCGATCTGGATCTCAGGGTACCCTAACCCTCCCCTACCCCGACCCGCTCTCTGATCCACTGCTCCACCAGCATCCATGCTGGCTCCGTGCCCGTCAAATTCGAGCCTGCAATGGTCTTCCATATGTCGCACCACCACGCGTCGAGTCGAAAGCCAACCTACAAGGACAGCGATGCATGTAATAGCGACTATGCGTCCAACTCGACGCTCTAGTACAACGTCTCTCTCCATGGAAACAAAATGGACGACCTGGATCGATGCATGAGGTAGTAGACTTGACTACAGGGCCCATTCGAGGAGCGTGTGGTGGTCGGCGTGCACCATCGGGTAGTAGGCTTCTTCGAGCGCTTGCTTGAAGCGGAGCACTTGCGCTTCTTCCGAGCCGTCGCCCAGGTCAAACTCAGACATGGCCGCGTCTTCGCGCCACGAGATATGGCGGCCGTTTACAATGTACGATGCGTTGAAGAAGACGGCGCGGAGGCGCGTCTTGGTCGGCGACACGCGCTCGAGGACAAACCTAGTCAATGCTAATGAGGACTACGATACATGGAGAAGTATCGACGTACCAGCACATGCGGTTGCACCACTGCGTGTTGGACGGCAGGAGCTCGTCGTGGTAAAAGTTGCCGGTGACAAAGACGATGCGATCCGGTGTCGAGAACTCGCGGCACACGTAGTAGCTCGACTCTTCCGGGTTAAAGACGGTGCGGCGGTAAATCATGATGTTGGCATCAATGCTCTTGACCATCTAGCGAGACGTGCATACCATACGAATGCAGACACAAACGTACCTCTTCGTTCATAAATTCGACCATGTACGGCCGCGTGTCGCCGCGAAGCAGCGACCAGATTGGATCGCGCATGCCCGTCATGACCGCATCCAGCGGCAGATCAAACTCGTGCTGGATGCGCATGACGACGTTCACCGAGTCGTGCTGCCCGTCAAGGATGACGGTATCCGCCAAGTTCCCATTCGCTGGAAACTCGCTGTACTGCAGCATCCGGTCCGTGTTGTGGAGCAAGTGCTGGCTGTACCAGTCGAGGCCCAGCCGGCGGCTCGTCGGTTCCGCGAGCAGCGTGGTTTGGCCCCACACCGTGCCTTTCGGGAGGGTTTTCTACACAACGCGATGTAGCTATAGCTTAAAGTCCCATGCACGCACCGGCGCGACCGTCGATGACATGGACGCGACCCACGCCGCCATGCGCTCGCTGAGCTGGAGCAGCTTGCGCTGCTTGGCCTTCAAGCCACGGTGCTCCTCAAGCGCTTCGTTGGACGCTTCGGCAAAGATGGATGCGATCTCGCTCCATGGTAGCGCCTTGGTGATCTTGGTCGCGGGCTTGGGCAGCGCAGCGACCTCGGCCTGAAGCGCGTGGAGCTGGTCCTGGAGCGCGTCCCGCTCGATGAAGAAGCGCTCGCGGAAGCGCTGCTGCTTGAGGCGGTTCTGGAGGCGCTGGTGCTCCTTCAGCTCGGCGGCCGACTGCGGGCGCTTGGACTTGGGCGGCCGGCCGCGCGGCTTGGGCGTGGCGACGTTCATCGTCTCGGGAAATGGTCAGCTGTGACACATGCGGATTGGCCTCGCCTCCGATTGGCTGAAATGCCATGACCATGGGTGCGGATTGGACTTGGCCGTGCGGACGCGTTAAAGTCAGGATAATGCAGGTAAACGACGTTTTTCTCCGCCAGGCACGCCAGCTTCATCATCGGTTGATGCGTGGTTGTTGGAGATCCCGTAACAGAGTGCGCAGCAAGGTATTGAATGGCATGGAGCCATCGAATGCTTCGAATGCCACGACAGGCGAAGAAGCCAGGTGAAGCGACGAGCATTCCAGAGACCAACTGCACCGTCAACGTAGAGCTTCAAGTTAGTTATGCGCCGACGGATGTGCACTCTCACTGCATTTCATAGCGCAGCGCTCTATGCGCTCGAAGTGCACCGACGCCATCGAGGTAAACACAGTACTGTCTGCAAGCAACGTGGCACCGAGGGCTGGAGCTCGTCCAGCGTACTAGTAGCTCTCAAACGCAGCTTTGGCTTCGACCGCATGTGGGTCACACTACACACCGCGTGTTACCGACGGCCACGAAGGATTACGCAACGCATACGCAAAGACATCCGTGCTTGACGTGCTTCGAACACAACGACGTTAAACGTATGATCGACCGTTTTAGGTTAAATAGGTACAAGGCGACGCTGGTTTGACACGCGAAAAGTTTGGATTCAGGCGTCTGAATTGGAAAAATTCGGCCATCGAATTGAAGACACTGCAAAAAACTCGATAGAAATACAGCAAGTCAGCGCAGCGTTTCTGTGTGTTTGGGCGCTGCTAGCAAGACAAGCTCATAGAGGTCCATGGACGGGCCTACTAGTATGCTTACTTGTCGCTCCCGACAAAAATCGGGTATCCGAATCCCAGAGAACATGGCGTGCGGTCCCATGTGCTCCTGGCACACCTTATGAGCTCTGACGATCCCTCCGATACTAGGATGCGTCGAAACGATTGGATTGGTTGACAAAAATCGTTGCCATGAGCGGGGTGCAGTATTTGGAACGCACGGCCGCGTTCGATGAACGCGCTTGCATGGCTCGACGCGGCGCTAAGCGCGCAGTCGCCCACAACGCTGACTGGAGACACCCAGGGAGACACCTCTGATTAGAAAAAGTGGATCGGCGGAGCCAGCTGGCCTCGAAGCACCACACATGGGCAGTGGTGGCGATTTACATGTTAGTGCGTAGCATTACTTGTAATACGTCGTTCTCCACCCATAGCTACGTCTGGAATCGAGATCGTCCATGGACCAGCACTGTCAGAGCATTGGCCGATTTTTCGTGGTTGATACTCGCGGCAGAGTTGATACGAACTCTTATACTGTTGCCCACGTGCTTGCAGTGGGAGACACGATACTTCTCGTCGCTTGCGAGGAACATTCGACCCAGTCATGGCGTCGCGTCGGTGGCATGCGCATGGCTGCCATAGGCCTCATCACAAACAGGTTGCAATTGGCGCTGCTGCTTACTCGTTTGGAGCTGCAACTCAGCTTTGCCGCGACTCGGTCCGAATCCGTAGGTACGACCGGGTGTTGTTGTTGAACTGAGTTATATTACATGCAATTATAAAGATATGGTGGACTTCCTAATGCGCTCGTGAGGCGTGGCCGGTGCGTCAGCGAGGAGCGTTAGTGGTCGTGATTCGAGATTGTGCGAGGGACCAGATAGCGTGCACACCAAGGGTCGTCGCGTAGAGCGGCCAGCGACGCGTCAAGAGATGGCACCTCATCGCGACGAGCCAAGTGCCGGACGTGCAGTCTTGCGATAGTAGCTGCCCAGATCGCGAGCGCGGCAGCGGGAAGTTGCGTCAACGTCGAGCGGAAGACACGGGTGTTGCGTTCGAGCCAAAGACAATACCAAACGCACGCGCGTAAGATCGGCCAGAGGGCACGAACGGACGACTTGTGGACCGAGTACGGCGTGGCGACATCGTCGTAGAGAAAGCCAGTGACCGACGTCGGGAGTTGCATCTGCAAAATGTCTCGCATCGGTGCAAAGGCGCACCAGATCGCTCGGACGTATGGGCATCGCACCAAGAGATGATCGTACGTTTCATGGACTTGCGCATCGCAGAGAAGGCAGTGCCGAGCTTCGTGGCCGAGAAAGTGCAAGCTGGCTCGGACTGCCACGGCTTTCAACGCTACCCGGTACACGAAGTCACCGTAGCGTGGAAGGACGTGAGCTTGCTGCCGTAGAGGTACAAATGAGGCCGCTCGGCCCGGGTGCTCGTAGAAGGTCGCTGGGACGCCAAGGTGTTGCAGTGGAAGCACACGCCAGTCAAAGTGCGGTCGTTGACGGAAGCCGGTCAGTCGGACGTCCATAGTCGCCGCGAGGACGACACGGGGTCCGAACTTAACGAGCCATGGCGAGGCACTGGCTGGGCGCACGTCATGATCGGCAGGCGGGATGAGCTGGAAGCATCGAACGAGAGCGGTCGCAAGCAGCCGGATCCAACGGCGGGTTGGCTGCAACGCTGGAAAGAGTCTTGGTAGATGTTCTTCGAGTTCGGCGACCGTGAGTCCAAGGGCTTGGAAGCTGTCTACGTGCGTGTAACCTTGAGCGACGAGCGTCTCGATGTGCGAGACGTGATCTTTCGCGAGCCACTTGAGCTTGCTTGACGCAGGAAGATGCGCGTTGTGCCATAGCGGAAGACGATGAAGCACGAGCAGGGCTGGGCGAGGCGAGCCATGCATGGTGTAGACGTGCAAGAACCATTCGATGAGAGCTGATGACCATCGTGCGGGAAAGCTGGGCGCAGGGTACGACCGGGTGTAAGGGACAAAAGACTCTCAGTCACACCACCGACGTGGTAGACTTGGGTGCCGTGCAGATCCAATGCATCATGCAGTTTCTTGCGTCGTTCTTTCCCATCTCTGCTCACTTGGCCGACGGACGTTGCACGGCAAAGCTACCGTTCTCTGGCAATCGAAGCTACGCTATGATAGATGCCAGACCTCGACGACGGGCCGCCACTCTGATACTAATCAGCTCGTTCTGCCTGAAACATGCGACACAAGCTGGACCTTGATGCCTATCATATTGTTCGGATACCGAGTGTCCTCGGTGGCATCTACTGTCCATTGGATTGGGTGGGATTTGTGAGCCGCTTTACGCCTTGGATTGTCTGGTCCACCACGCCGCCCCCAGATTGACAACAGCGCGAGCCTTGTGCTCCAGCGCGAACCAAGTACCGAGATTGCACTCTTCGGAGCAAGTTCTGCGCTCGTACTACCGTAGTGCAGTGTGTAGTGTAGCTATCATTTAGCCGCCAAATAGTACAAGTAATCAAGGCAGGACCACCCTGAAGAGTGGGCTGTTCTGACTGAACCCAGTAAATGGTACGGTATGCAGGCTCGCGAGCATCCTATCGACCATGCCTCTCTGTGGCTTGACTATAAATCATTCGAGACCTCATGCGCATCATACCCAATGGAGCAGTGGACCATAGTAAATTCTCTGGGCAGCAAGCAGTGCACGTGAGATCGACCAAGCCTTCAACGTGTGGACCGTGTGCGTCGGACCATCATTCTACTCCCACCTATTTGTATCCGTCGTTCAGGCCTATCATCTCGCGACCTCGGATCCACGTTTGCATGTGCATGATGGACGGTAGACTTGATTCCAAGCTGCCAGAAGCATCATTACACGTCTATGGCGCGTGCATCGCGCTTGTAAGTACGATAGGTATGGATTGTCGTCGTCCATGGTCTTCCCAGTATCGATTTTCCCATGGCCGACAACAGCATTCTCCTGTGCCAATACACGTACAAGCCGTGCTCGAACCCGCGCTCCGTCAAGAAGAACGGGTCGCTCCACTCGTTTTGCGAGGACCACCGCCGAAAAGCCAACGCGATCCAAAAAGCGTACGCGTTGAACAAGCGTCTTCGCGAGTCCAGCGTCGTGGTGCCCCGACCACTCTGCGTCGTTCCAGTGCCCATGACGCCCGTTGACGGTGTCCGTCCGATCCTGCCGCGCCTCGCGACGCCGTCGTTTGACGCGGACGAAGTCCGGTTTCTCCACGACTGGCTCACCCAGCATGTGCCCGAGGACAGCGACGACGGTCTTTGTGAGACGGAATGGAGCACCGACGACTATGGGATGCTCTGTGATCTTTTCTAGATCTCACGTCTAGTCGTAGTGCACCACTGTATCTAGAAAGCTGATATTGACACTCATCGATCGCTGAAAGTACCATGTATGTGTGTCTGTTCAACCGCTACGAGGGGTATACAAGGTGACGCTAGTAACCGTTTCTAATTGCAACGTTGGGTTGAATGTACGAGGTTGGAATCCAGAGCATGGTGGCGGTGCATGCACGGGTAGAGGGCTCGGTTGGGATCGACTAAAGGTACTGCTAGCACTGCACTATGACGCAGAGGAAGCGTGTTGGTCTCATAACCCAAAGGTCAATGACACGACTGCATGTCCGGCACTTGGCTCGTCGCGCTGTAGTGTCATCGCACGCTACCTCGTCCCTCGGACTGTTTCGAATCACGACCACATTTTGTGCCATAGTGCGTTGTATTTGATACTACGCTCCTACTAGTACTTGTGTTTAGTCACGTGGAAATGCCATTGCGCTCTATCAAGGATGTAAAAATCGGCCGAATGCAGAATATTTTATCTGTAGTTTGCCTCGACTTTAGATTAGCGTAATCACGAGCCTCGAAGTCGCAACCAGCAAATCAGATCGCCGCATTGTCCTCCTCCACCCCGTCGCCTCGTCAAACATGCTTCGATATTCTCAACAGGGGGATCGGGACGTCTGGTACTCGTCTAGATTCGTGATAAGAATGATCTCATCGTCCGCCAGGAAAATATGCCTTGATTCCCTTGAAGGAAGGCACGAGGCCGTAGCTTTGCCATACCTGCAGCACTCTCTACCCAAGTACCGGTGCATCAACAGCCACACCGTCGTCAAACGACTTGTAGCGGTTATGGCGTCGGTTGGCTCACCGAAGTTGCGAGATGCGCAGAAGTTGCTTCTACGCATTCGACGCCGTGTGAAATCCAACCCATCGCCCGATCGCCGTGAGAAATACAACGTGGGAAACAAGTGCAAAGTGGTGGCAAAGTCCACGCAACCACCCAAGCATGACCTACCACTCGCTCCTCACGCATCGCGCGATCTTCGCCCTTGTCGGCGTCGATGGCAGATACTATGATACCTTTTCAACGCACCGTCGATGCGCCTTTTAGCCTATTCGTGCGCCACGAGAACTCGAATATGCATATAAAACACACGGACCGGTGGTGTCAAATCCCACACATTTCACACATCCGAAAGCCCACGTGATATGGAAGTTTCCGCCTCGCGGAGGTTCCGTACTGTCCCGACTTCGGCGGCAACGCCAACGGCCGCCGGCGGATGGCTCATTCCTCAACTGCCGTCGCAGCAGCAACAACAACCACACTCCACCTCGCACCATGGCCCACCACCTGCTCTCGCCCATCAAGATCGGCCGCATCGAGCTCGCCAACCGCGTGTTCCTTGCGCCGCTCACGCGCTGCCGGTCGTCGCCGGGCACGCACGTGCCCAACGACCTCATGAAGGAGTACTACACGCAGCGCGCGGGCGCCGGCCTCCTCATCACGGAATGCACGATGATTGCGCCCAAGACGTCGGCCTTTTACTCGGAGCCGGGTCTCTACTCGCCCGAGCAGCTCGCCGAGTGGAAGAAGATTACGGACGCGGTGCACGCCAAGGGCTCCAAGATCTTTTGCCAGATCTGGCACGCTGGCCGCGCCGCGCACCCCGACCTCAACGACGGCGCCGAGACGATTGCGCCGTCCGCGATCGCGATCGAAGGCGACGTCCATGGCCCCAACGGCAAGGTGCCGTACACGGTGCCGCGCGAGATTTCGCTCGACGAGATCCCGCACCTCGTGCAGCTGTACGCGACGGCGGCCAAGAACGCGGTCGAGGTCGCGGGCTTTGATGGCGTCGAGGTCCATGGCGCCAACGGGTACCTCATCGACCAATTCCTCAAGGACAGCAGCAACACGCGCACGGACGCGTACGGTGGCTCGATCGAGAACCGGGCGCGATTTGGCCTCGAGGTCGTCGCCGCCGTCGTTGGCGCGATCGGTGCGGACCGCGTCGGCATCCGCCTCTCGCCGATCAACAGCTACAACTCGCAGATCGACTCGAACCCGGCCGCGCTCCTCGAGTACGTTGCCAAGAAGCTCAACGACTTTTCGCTCGCGTACCTGCACATCATGCGCGCCGACTTTTTCCAGGCGCAAAAGGGCGACGTCGTCCCGATCGTGCGCGAGCATTTCAAGGGCCCGATCGTCGCCAACATGGGCTACACCAAGGAAGAGGGCGACCAAGCGATCGCGGCCGGCGCCATTGACGCCGTCGCCTTTGGCACCTCGTTCTTGGCCAACCCCGACTTGGTCACGCGCTTCGAGAAGGGCGCGGCCCTCAACGCGCCGGACTCGGCCACGTTCTACACGCCGGGCCCCAAGGGCTACACCGACTACCCGTTCCTCTCGTAAACGACATCGTACTCGTGTTGTATCCAGGAAAATAGTACCATGGAATGACAACATTGGTTTTGGCGTTGACCATCTTCCGCTTGAAAAACTGCAAGCTTCGATGTCGGCGATTGGAATCGAAGTCTGTGTCAGCTAGTCGTCCTTCCACCCAGGATCTTCATCAGTGACGTGCTCGATCTGTGCCGCGAGCGCATTTCGCGCATGTGGTCTGTCGAGACGATCGACGAGGTTGAAGCTGATCACCGAGCGTTGTACGCCGCCTACAACGGCGGTGACCCATCTCTCAAGGAGCTCATCGACAAGCACGATGCTACCACAACGTTTGACGAGGCCTGGGAAGTGGCGTCAGGTCGCTGGAGTCGTCTTTGCTCCTTCTGTTGCGGGCTTGCGACTGGGTTTGCCAATACCACGTCCGTCGAGTTCGATCCTCAAGTGGGAAATGTACGAGAACCGGACCGATATAATGCACCTTTCGCTCGAAGGAATCTTCCAGGCCAAGCAGCGGAACACATTCGAGTCTTTAAACCTTTAAACCTGTGAAATACATTGTGCATTGTCCCTTAATCGATGATACTCCTCAGTCCATTGCTTATATTCACAATTTAAAAATCATAATGAGCACAAATTAGCTTAATTAGCTAAATTTCGTGAAATGACAAAATTTATCAGGCCTGACTACACCCGACCATTCGGACGGCAGGATCGATGCGCTCCAACAAGTGTAACGTGACGGTGTCGCTGCACGCGGCATCTGAAGCACAATTATCTGTCAATAGACGACCAACAAGCCGATAGACTCGTTTCGTTGTTGGTGCTCTAAGCTCTGATCCCAGACTAAGCCGTCGGCGACGCTCTGGATTTTAGGGCGCACTATCCATCAACCACAGACTTCGATTCCAATCGCCGACATCGAAGCTTGCAGTTTTTCAAGCGGAAGATGGTCAACGCCAAAACCAACGTTGTCATTCCATGGTACTATTTTCCTGGATACAACACGAGTACGATGTCGTTTACGAGAGGAACGGGTAGTCGGTGTAGCCCTTGGGGCCCGGCGTGTAGAACGTGGCCGAGTCCGGCGCGTTGAGGGCCGCGCCCTTCTCGAAGCGCGTGACCAAGTCGGGGTTGGCCAAGAACGAGGTGCCAAAGGCGACGGCGTCAATGGCGCCGGCCGCGATCGCTTGGTCGCCCTCTTCCTTGGTGTAGCCCATGTTGGCGACGATCGGGCCCTTGAAATGCTCGCGCACGATCGGGACGACGTCGCCCTTTTGCGCCTGGAAAAAGTCGGCGCGCATGATGTGCAGGTACGCGAGCGAAAAGTCGTTGAGCTTCTTGGCCACGTACTCGAGGAGCGCGGCCGGGTTCGAGTCGATCTGCGAGTTGTAGCTGTTGATCGGCGAGAGGCGGATGCCGACGCGGTCCGCACCGATCGCGCCGACGACGGCGGCGACGACCTCGAGGCCAAAGCGCGCCCGGTTCTCGATCGAGCCACCGTACGCGTCCGTGCGCTTGTTGCTGCTGTCCTTGAGGAATTGGTCGATGAGGTACCCGTTGGCGCCATGGACCTCGACGCCGTCAAAGCCCGCGACCTCGACCGCGTTCTTGGCCGCCGTCGCGTACAGCTGCACGAGGTGCGGGATCTCGTCCAGCGAAATCTCACGCGGCACCGTGTACGGCACCTTGCCGTTGGGGCCATGCACGTCGCCTTCGATCGCGATCGCGGACGGCGCAATCGTCTCGGCGCCGTCGTTGAGGTCGGGGTGCGCGGCGCGGCCGGCGTGCCAGATCTGGCAAAAGATCTTGGAGCCCTTGGCGTGCACCGCGTCCGTAATCTTCTTCCACTCGGCGAGCTGCTCGGGCGAGTAGAGACCCGGCTCCGAGTAGAAGGCCGACGTCTTGGGCGCAATCATCGTACATTCCGTGATGAGAAGGCCGGCGCCCGCGCGCTGCGTGTAGTACTCCTTCATGAGGTCGTTGGGCACGTGCGTGCCCGGCGACGACCGGCAGCGCGTGAGCGGCGCAAGGAACACGCGGTTGGCGAGCTCGATGCGGCCGATCTTGATGGGCGAGAGCAGGTGGTGGGCCATGGTGCGAGGTGGTGATGTGGTTGTTGTTGCTGCTGCGACGGCAGTTGAGGAATGAACCATCCATCGGCGGCCGTTGGCGTTGCCGCCGAAGTCGGGACAGTACGGAACCTCCGCGAGGCGGAAACTTCCATATCACGTGGGATTTCGGATGTGTGAAATGTGTGGGATTTGACACCACCGGTCCGTGTGTAGTATATTCGAGTTCTCGTGGCGCACTCACTGACGCATCGACTGTGCGTTGAAAAGGTTCATATAGTATCTGCCATCGACGCCGACAAGGGCGAAGAACGCGCGATGCGCGAGGAGCGAGTGGTAAGAGTGCTCGGGTGGTTGCGTGGACTTTGCCACCATTTTGCACGCGTTTCCCACGTGGTATTTCTCACGACGACGTGGTGATGGGTTTCATTTCCCACGGCGTCGAATGCGTAGAAGCAACTTCTGTGCATCTCGCGACTTCGGTGAGCCAACCGACGATATAACCGCTACACGTCGTTCGACGACGGTGTGGCTGTTGATGTACCGGTTCTTGGGTAG